GGGCAGGGCTCTGGGCCGGCCGGTACAGAGGGGCCGCCATCACCACAGGCCAGGGACAGGCAGGCCTCCTGGGCCCCTGCACACCCCCTCCCACTCACTGTCCCGAGCCCCTCGACCATCCCAGGCCTGGCTTCTCATTCCCACTCCTGACTCCACCCCCAGAGACCCGGCAGTGCCTCCTCCTGGCCCGGATCCCCAGCCCCACCCACTCCGGCAGCCCCCCTGGCCAGTGCCCACCTCCACGTGCCTCTGAGGTCGCCCCACCCTCGTGCGCTCAGCCTGGGAGGCACTCCTGAGCGGTCTCCTCCCCAGCCAGGCCGCCCACAGCCATGGGGATGCCAAGGTGGGGATGTCTGCCTCCCAGGTCTCCCCTCACTTGGGCCCCCTCCTCTGCCCCCTGGGGAGACTCACTAGGCGGCAGCTCTGCTCCCCCACCCCAGATGCCCTGGGGGGGGGGCGCACTGGCCATGCCCCGGCCCCACCTCCGCACACCTGCAGGCAGGGAGCCCACTGAGCCACATCCCCCCGAGACCCTGGGCCAGAACCTGGGGTCTGGGAGGCTGGTGGCTGGAAGGCAGAGCTGGCCAGAGGGTGGGAGCGCGTATAGAGAAACCTGGGGTGAATCTGGGACCCCTACAGTAGGCACTGCACCCCGAACCCCAGTCAGCAGCCCAAGACGGGCTTGGCGCTCAGTTAATGAGCCCATCACACCCCCACCCACCTGGCTCTTAGGGGCCAGCCTCTGGGCAGAGCACAGGGAAGGGGGGCCGGGCGAGAAGGCCCACCCGGCTCAGCCTCCTCCACCCCCTGCCTCCCCTTCCTCAGCCCCACGGGCAGGGTCACACCTACCCCCCACCCCCTCCCAGGGCGGAATGATGGAACGAGGCCAGTTTGCCCGGCTTTGGGAGTTCTCCCGGGCCAGCCGTACCCCCCTCCCCAGCAAAGCTGGGGGCAGAGGCACACGCAGCCGGCGGGGGTCCAGGGCCTCTGGCAGCCTTGGCGGGCAGGGGGTGGGGGGCAGCCACAGGTTCTCCCTGGGGGTGACAGAAGCTCCCAGAGCTGGGTGCCCCTCACGCACTCTCGTCCTGCCCCCCACCCTGTTGGGCTCCCCCTGGCCCCCGCTGGCTGCTCCAAACCAGAATCCGCCCCGACTCAGCCCGGCCTTCGCCTGCAGAGCAAGGGTGCCGGGGACAGCTCCGGGCATGGCCTTGAACTTGGCACAGAGACACCCAACGGCCAGAGACGGCAGCTGGCAGGTCCCCGAGGTGACGCGGAGCCAGCGCTGCCCAACCTGGTCCCCGGGAGCTGCGGGTCCCAGACACAGAGGCCAGGGGTCATTGGGGGCTCACTCACGTGCCACGGAGAAGTTGTTGAGGGGCGACTCGCGCTGCTCCACGTCCTGCGGCCGCTCCTTGTAGCCGATGAAGGTGCCGTCGTTCTTGAGCAGGAAGTAGCGGGGCCGCCAGGTCTTGATGTACTCCCCTGGGACACAGGGCTGTGAGGCTGCGCCGGGCCCGCTCCCCACCCTCGGACCCCAGCCCGCAGGGATCAGGCAACTGCCGGTGCCGGGCCAGAGGCACCCAGGACCCCAAATGCGTGAGCTCTGACCCCAATTCCCACAGGAGCAGGTGGGAAGGGGCCAGGTGGGCACCTGGACATGGGGGAAGGCACGGCTGTGGGGAGGCCCAATCTAGAGGGCCTTCCTGGAGGAGGTGACGCCAAGCCAGTGTGACTCTGCAGCAGCAGTTGAAGCACTAGCTACAGCCACCTGCTGGGGCTGCAGGGCCAGGAACTCTCCCCCCACCCGGGGCGACCATTTGTCGGCCGAAAGGGTTACTGCAGTGACAGGGCAAGCGGGCGGCTCCCACGGCCGACCCGGCCGGGGGGAAGGAGCCTGGCATCCGCTGAGGGGACAGCA